ATTGCTGTGGAATTTTTAGTATTATATTGGACCACAACTTTATTTTTATAATTATCAAAATATAATATGACCCACAGTTATGTTGGGTTAGAAATTATGTCATATTATAAGTTATGACTTATCGCTTATAGAAATTATTTAAATACAAGAATTTACCATTTTGTAATTATTCAATTGCAATTTGTATCTAATAAAATTTGATTATATTTTTATTTTAATTATATGCTTCTTATTATTGTGTTATTTTTTGAAAACTCTTAGCAATACTAATAATCCATATTCACAATTGCTGTCTTTAATCAGAGATTATATTATTATTATTATTATTATTATTATTAAATTGTAGCTATAATTTGCTATAAAAAAAAAAAATTAATGAAACTTTGATGGTATACTAATCATTCTTCAAATTATATCACCCATATCATAGGTTTAATAGAAACATAAAACCCATTTCCTATGAAATATTATTATTCATAACAAAATATTTTATGAATAATAATATTATAGTTGTAATATTTGTATTGTAATCACATATTTTGAAAAAAAAAGATAATTTGTTTCATGCTTACCTTAAATAATTACATCTATTTCTTTTATAGAAAATCTACATTGTTGGGTCCAACAATGCCCAAACTCGTTTTCGGTTATTGAATATTGATCGAAGAAATATTACAGAACTGAACATTACTGATGATAAAATAGAGTATGGGTTTCGCGATATAAGTAATCTAGTTAACAAAATTACAACAATGCACAAAGCTCGTGGGAGTACTGTTAAAATATTTTATGCATTTGGCATAGTAGGTCAGTCTTTTGATATGAGTATTATTGAATTGTGATTTTCAAATAAATGTGCTTGCAGGGTTTATTAGATTCTTACATGGATATTATATTATTTTAATTACTAAAAGAAGAAGAATAGCAGAAATTGGTTTACATATTTGTATAAAATAGAAGATACGCTCATGGTTCCAATATGTCTGGATAGTAAAAACATTCATCCAAATGAACTAAATATGTGAAAATGTTTCAAAGTATCGATCTGAAAAGCAACTTTATTTTAGGTATGCTCATAATATATTTCATTTAGTAGAAACCACATTTCAAATATTTTTATTGCAGTTACAGTTATGATTAACAAGACCTCTTCAAAATAATGTTGCCCCACCAAAATATTTTCATCCAAGAAATCATTCAACACTCCGCAAGATGCTGATTATGAAAGTGACTCAGAGCCATTACCCAACTTTGGGTCAAAAATGGAAAAGTACAGTATATAATATAATTAACTACAATAATATATATATATATATATATATATATATATATATATATATATATGTGTGTGTGTGTGTGTTAAGCTTTGAAGAGAAAATCAAAATCTTAAGATTTTTTAACAAATTTTTAAAAGAATCCATATTAGATTTTTTTTTAACAATTATTATTTATTGTTGTCGTTTTGAAGCTATTTATTTGTATAACATGGTCTTTCTTAGAAGATAAACAAATTTAATATAATAGGATTATATGAAGAATTATCAAAATTAAATAATAAAAAAGTTGAATAAAAATGTTAAAAAAGAACACATTTTGTAAAATAAAAAAGAACACATGTTATTAAATCAAAACAGTTGTTATTCAATCCATTCATTTTCATATTAGATTTACTAGATCTTATTTTCTTATATTATTATTTTTTTGTACTGGGTCTATTCGTTTATCTTCAAACTTCTTTTTAACTGTTGCCTTGAACCAGTGGCGTACCTAGAACTTTTGCCGCCCGGGGCGGTCTCCAGATTGCCGCCCTTTCAATTATAAGTCAGTCAAATAGTAGTTTTCATAAATTAATACAAATAAACTAGTAGTGCATGGCATCGTGCCTTAAGGCAAATTGCTGGCAGTTCCCGTACCGAAACATACAATTTTTAAAAAAGATTAAAAATTTTTTGAAATCTGAAAAAAATATATTTTTGAGAATTTCGAAAATTTTGAAAAAAAAGGGCTTTTTTTGAAATTTTTTTTTTATATTTTGAAATTTTTTGAAAATTTGTAACTTTTTTTCTTAAATTAGAATTCAAATTTTACACTAATATACATTTATATACTCCGAGGAATAAAATTCTAAATCATATGGTTAATCATAATTTATATAAATCAAATATTGACAATAATAACAATCATAATGATCATTTATAATTCAAGGAAGAAAACTAGTTGGTACTGGTATTTTGCCTTGAGGCCAGTTACATGAACTTCCCGAAATGTGTAAATAATCGACTTAATCAATAAAAAATAAATTAATTATGGGTGATTAAAAGTATTCCGAGTGGATTTATTACACATAATTAAAAATAATTGAAATCAATAATTATAATTGAACCAGTTTCCGTAGGACTTTAAGGATTTACTATGTTCAAGATCAAGTACACTATCGTTATACCAACTAAATCATCTAATTTTATTTTTAACAAACGTCAAAAAAACATTTTCTCTAACTTTGATAAATTTTTAAAATTAAACTACTTGTCGTAAGGCCGTAATAATTCAGTAAGTTCTATAAGGCAATGATATAAATATAAATATATACATCGCCAAAGAAAGTTTCATAAAAATCGGCTTAAATTTTTTTTTCATCGGTTAATTAC